TCTGAGGGTTATCAGGGATAGAGGAGGAAGCAATGTTTGAAACAAGAGGGTTCGGATGGTTCTGCAGTTTGTTATGGAAGGATAAGTATTTGGATTGGGCCAAATCGTTAACATATGGAACATTAACGTTTATGGATGATTTTGTTTGTGACAAAGTAAGGAGCGTTGAGGATTTTGGATTGTAAGGATTGGATTCGAGAGGATTTAATTCGATGGTTTAATGGAGCCCCAGAGCTCAATTCCGTAAGTCCAAATAGGTCTTATTATTGTAATATATATGAGTCGTTTGTAATTGAGTGAAAACTTAGAGCGTTTGTCTAGTAAGTGTTGGAGTAGTCGGAAACGTCGAGCAGTTTCTTGTCGTTTCAGTCTTGTATGAGGATTCCATGTGAGTCGTTTTTTATCGTTTTTATGGGAGTCCTAGGTAACGGATTTGTTCAACTGGGGGTAAGTGGGGAATTGTTAAAGAATACTGTAGGACAGGAAGTCATAGGTTTGCGACGCAGGGTAAAGGTAATTTGATGGGATTTATTGGAATTTATTTTAATTCTCCAGTTTTGACACCATTCTTCAAGGTTTGTGATATGTGATTGAAGAGTTTGGGATGTGATTGATGGATCGTTATTAACTGATAGGATAAACGTGTCATCGGCATATGTGGTGATGATAGTGTTTGGATAACGCTAAAAATACGTGTATAAATCACCATGCTTTATATGAAAGTTTTTCCCACGCTTATTATGTAACTCGGAAAAATATACAATTCAATCACATACCAAAAGAAACTATAGAATTTCTCAAAACGTTAATTTCACTAACTATCCTACTATAACTGTTAAATTTTTTATTATTTACAATTTATGTAAACGAAAAATTCTTATAAATAGAGTACGCCGACTCAGATATTTAAATTTGTTTTTATATTTTGGAGTGGAAGATAGAGAAGGGGAAAGTTTAAAAATGTAAATTAAGGTTTCGAATTTGTTTTTTTGTTTTTTTTTTTATCCGTTTATTCTCCTTCTACATCTTAGATACTTCGAGAAAAAAATAAACGCGATGTACTGTATCATAAATATTTACTCAAAAAATGTTTATATATAAACATGTATTCCGAACGTGTATGTAAATAGCCAATGCCATCAACACACTTCCCGTGTAAGATATTTCCACAAGTTAGACGAACCAAGTTAGAGAATGTAGAAATTATCAAAATTTAAGTTTTGTAACATAATATATTTATAACTGTTACTTCGTAACAGGTTTGATTGATCAATAACAACTACAATCAAATATAGAAATAAATTAAAATAACTATTTACCTTCACATATGGAACACAGCCTGGCTAAAACTGAAGGACAGCTCATCTAACAGAATGAGTGGGGATACCTCAGATATTGTATTACTTATTATGTTTCACAAAATGTGTTTCTGCCGAAACCTGTTCCTTTAAGGTGTTTGTATAACATAACATATTATATAATAAAGTTATTACTTATGATTAATAGTTCCGTCTTCAGAAAGGGTTCGTATTGTTTACGGAAAATTTAAAACAACTCCGCGATATTTTCAAGATCAATAGATAAAAAAAAAGACTAAAAACGACTGAATGAAGAATAATTAGTAATTTTAAATAGTATCAGAGATAACCATAATTGTTAATGGCAAAAAACATCGATAGGAACGAATATAACATGTAAAGCCCATCATTAAAAATTTCTTAATTCTGATTTTATAAGTGTTACATAATGAAATGTTTCAAAATATGTATTATTTTATTGAAATAAAATGTTCATTTTAAAATCAGCTAATTCAATAATAAAACAAATGAAAACATCTCATTTTATTCTCAGTTGCCAAAATAGTAGTTATTAGAAATAAAATTTGACTAAAAATAAAATTAAACGATGTTTATAAACTTTTATATTGTAGTGGAATATAGGATATGCCAGAACCCTCAGAAATTTGCCCGACCACCACCAGAAAATTTGGCTAGATGTGTCTATAGTTTTGACTTATATTCATCATACTGAATCACAGGGGGATCTACGGGAAGGGGGGCTTTCGGGCTGAAGCCCTCCCCCCCCCAAAATGGTAAAATATACAAAAAAAAAATATTAAAAACTACCTCTTAAAGTGTTCTTGTTCGTTTAATTACATTTAATAGGCCTTCAAGAACCACTTAAACACCATTTCATATAGGTAGTTAATTTCTTTTTTTTAAAAATTAATTATCATTATATGTATACGAAAAAAAACATCTTTCGGGCTGAAAGCCCCCCCAAAATTAAATCCTGGATCCGCTAGTGTACTGAATCATAATATTTATATAGATTATTTGTAATTTATAAAAGTTCAATATTGTTATCATTTGCTAATCTAGAAAACGAATGTCAATTTATCATGGTACTTCATGATTTGTCTAATATATTTTAATTCCTATTTAAATTTGGCTCAGAAGTGAATTGCTAATGAGAAGAAAATATTTTAATTCTGAATGGAATAAAATTACTGTACACCAGACTCCACATAAAAAAGTACATTATTTTCGCCACTGTCAATCATAAATTACTATAAGTTTCAATAATCATTTCAACTAAAAAATAGGTTCAAAAAGAAACTTGAAAGGCTCACATTCTTAGTAATTGATAAAATTGTCATTTATGTAAAAGAATGTGCAATTCTAAACATGTATACATGTTTTCTTTCAATGAATTAAATTGTTACCATACTGTACCGAAAAGTGGAACAACAAAATTAATTTTTGAATAAATAATTATACATAGATTTTTTTATTTATTTATTCAAAGCTTCCCTGCCTGTTAGGCAATACGAGTGTTCACAGTAGTGGATAGCTACACATGTGTGTATAACTATCCAATACTGCAATCGATACAATTTTTCCAAGATTTTCTGACTACAGAATCAGCTTGTTTATCTTGGTTCTGCTATCTTCTATGGCGGAGCTTCTTCTCTTTTACCCAAATAGAAATGGACTGGGCCAATGACGTCTTTCCACCAGTACACAAAGGCCTTGTAGAGCGGGTAGTTCTCTTTGGTAACTAGCTGAGAGAGATCGCGCCCTGTCTCCCTCAGCAAATTAGCCCTCAGTGCCTCATAGGCGGTACAGACTAGTAAGATGTGCTCAGCGGTCTCCGGTACACTACAACTTGGGCATAGGAGATCGATGTTCTTAGAATTATAATACATGCAAAATATCGCTTGAAAAGAAACCAGTTATATTGTATAAATCTTCCACCATTTTTGGTTATAATTTTGACCACTATCCCAGTCATCTGTTGGATAAAGTAGTTCCTTATTTATTTTCAATATAATGTTGTTCACGTTAACATTATTCACCTCAGATAAATCCCTATCAATGACATAGGCGCAGACTTCGAGGGAAGGAGGGAGCAAGAATATAGTTCCGCCACCCCTCCCCCCTCCAATAATTTGAAGCAAAAAAAAAATTAAAATTGATAAGAAATAAGCTACATGAATGAATAAAATATGTGTACTAAAATCATCTAAGAAAAGTTTATTAGGTGGTCTATAGGTACGTAACTATTTTATCACGAACCTAAATATTTCTATTATTTAAATTTTCATTCATATTCAGGAATAATAATATAGAAACATACCCTTGGATTTTATGATTCATTCACCATTCACGTGGACACTTCCATTTGCACGTGAATTTCTTATAATATAAAAAATATTCTCCATTAAAGTTGGAAAAATATATTTAATAAGTACAAGTATAAATATATGAGAAGGAGTTAATTATTACGCAGAAATTTCAACCCATATTGCAGGTCTTCCTCTGGGCTACAAAAGATACAAAATATAAAAGGCACATGGTGAAAATAAAATAAATGAATGATAAGTAGATATTAATTAAGAAACAGTTGTCTGATAAAGAAATAATAAGATCATATCAGAGATATAGTGGGTAAAAATGTAGTTCAAATATCAATTATTATATTATATAAGATACAAACAAAAATAGAATATAAGTATGAATAAAAATATAAAACCAAGTATATATTCTCATAGAAACAAAGGAGATATTAAATATTCTTCTTTGTTTTATATATTTTTATTCATACTTATTTTCTATTTTTGTTTGTTTCTTCTATATAGATAATACATGATATTTTAACTACATTTTCACCGACTATATCTCTGATATAATCTTATTATTTTTTTATCAGACAACTGTTTCTTATTTAATATCTACTCATCATTCATTTATTTTATTTTCACCATGTACCTTTTATATTTTATATCTTTTGTAGCCCTGATGAAGACATGCAAAGTGGGTTGAAACGTCGGCATAATAATTAAAAATACTATTTTATAAAATTTAGTATTTATTTGACTGCACCCCCCGATCAACTCCTTCTCATATTATATCACGGTCAACCATCTCTACATCATTAAGTATAAATATATTTTATAGAGAATGTTTTTATAGACATTACATAGTCAGACTGTGAAAACGTTTTATTTTTATTTGGAGGTTGTACAAACTAAGAAATCAAAAGTATCGTTTTTTTTTGTTTTTAACATTATTCATTTTTAGGTGAAAAAGTTTTAGAAATGTATCTATGTTATGGGGGCTGACCCCTTTTCTCTCATGTTTAGTTTATACAAATTGTAGTTTATATAATTAAATTCTACAACTGTTTAAACATATATATAAATTTATTTTTAAATATCCATTATTACATTTGTTTGCTTCACAATATGTTGAATTTTAAACACGTAGAATGAACTACTGCCTTTCTTTTTTTTTTTTTTTTGGTCCATAGCCACCAAAATACCAAGATATCCTCTCTACACCCACACCTATGATCATTGACAACAACTTCTTTTTCAATTTAATTACACACTTCTGTACAAACACTATTCATAAACTGATTATGACTTTTATACTGAAAGAGACTTTAAAGTTATTTCTAAACGCAACTTTTTTTTGTTCACAGATTATTAAATCAAAATGACCATTGACTTCTACTACGTTCCGGGATCTGCTCCATGCAGAAATGTCCTGTTGGCAGCCAGGGCTGTTGGCGTAGACCTTAACCTCAAACTTACAGACCTCATGAAAGGAGAACACTTGACCCCAGAATTTCTGAAGGTAATGAGTATTTCTTTTATTTTTATAATGTACCATTTTTTTTTTTATTGAAATATCTTAAGTTTCTATAATTAAGTATTGTAATTTACATACCCTGATTTATTTTTCTTTCTTGTTTTCAGTTGAATCCTCAACACACTGTTCCAACTTTGGATGACAATGGCTTCGTCCTTAATGAAAGGTAAAGAAATATTTCCCTCTGCCATTCTTTTCATTTTTTACTGTAATAAAAAAAATAAGATTGCAGTAAAATTAAAAAAAAAATACAAACAACATAAATTTAAAATAATTGCGGATTGATGGTTGACTGTAGTGAACAATTGAAGAGAAGAATTAATAGTTGGGGTAATCATTAAAAAAAAAATGCTAAAAATAAATAAGTATATATCAGGGCTGGTCAAACGAAAGTCTTAGTCTTGCAGAATCTTTTCGTTCGACCAGCCCTGATGAAGGCCTGAACTTTGGGCCGAAACGTTGGCAAAAATAAAAATAAATGCCCTTATTTATTTTTACAATTTTTTTTTACTGATTATCCCAACCATGCTTCTCTTCAATAAACTCAAAATAAATTATTCATTAATTTTAAGAACAAACATAAATAATATTATTTATAATAATGTATGAAAAGAATGAATTTTACATATTGATCACCAATATTTATATATATTTGATTTGATATAATAATTTGTAATTATGGAATTATCAATCAACTAAACAATCAAAAAATGCATTAGATAATATGTTTTTCTATGAAACTTGTTCTATTTTCAAACTCTCATCATATATCATTCATTTAAATAACAAAATTAAGTTAACTGAAGTTTGTCTTTAATATCTTCAATGTAAAATATAAATGATTAACTATATTTTTTTTTTATTATTATATGTAGCAATTTCAGTAATGTGAATCCATTACTACAGGAGAGGGACGGATTGATTTAAACAAAAAATGTTTGAATAGCAGAGAGTGGTTGGGAAAACTTCTTATAATGAAATATTAAAACTTAATAAATACATTAAATTTTTTAACTGAGTACATATGTGAATTCTCACTTGAAAAAATTGAATTTGTTGGTAATTATTTTTCTTTTTGTATGGATTAAGTTTTTCACTGCTTCCCTTATATTTAGAGGAAGGATATTTAGAAAGGGTATATTTTTTGCAGTTTCTCATTGAATTTAATGATTGCAGTGATTAAAACAAGACATCTTGCAGCCTTAACATCATTCTGTTTATATAAAATATGATAAACGATTCTTGGAAAATAGCCAATGTATAAGCACTAAGAAAATTCATATAGGCAGGCAGGCATTTTTCTATAGAAATTTATTTCTTGCTGTCTGCATCTGTTTTCTTTTCCGAATAAATCTTTCCATCCATCTTGTTTTTTTTTCATGTTCAGATTACTGAAATGTTTGGACTCCCCATTAAGCCAAGTTGAGCTGTTTCCAAACCTTGCATAGCTATCAACTTTAGAATAAATATTTAACAGTCATGGAAATTGAATCCATGAATCCATCTAAATATATGGATAGAAAATCATAATCGTAACATGTATAGCATTATTATTTAATTTTGTAGCCGAGCCATAATGTGCTATCTCGCAGACCAATATAGCAAAGACGATTCGCTCTACCCAAAAGACCCAAAAAAGAGGGCCATTGTCAACCAGAGACTGTACTTCGACATGGGAACTCTCTACTTAAGATTTGGAGAACTATATGTAAGCAAACTTAGTTTTTATAAAAAAATATAAAACATTACACTAACTAGAAATCAACATTAATATTAATACATTTCACTTTATAATAATATCATTTAATGCTTTCAGTACCCAGTTATCTTTGGTGGTGCGCCTTATGATGAGGAGAAAGCAAAGAAATTAGATGAAGCTTTTGGATTTTTAGACGGATTTTTGAGCAAATCTGCTTATGCTGCAGGAGACAACCTAACTTTGGCTGATCTATCTCTTGTTTCTACAGTCTCAACAGTTGAGGTATAACTATATAAGAAAACTTACATAGAGCTGTGATATTTTGTTGTATTATATTGACTTGTTATGTGTATTGAAATAAATAAGAGGATCTAAAAAATACTAATATCTATGAATATTTAAAATATAAAACTAGTACTCTTTTGTACAGAGAAGATTCAGAACATAATAAGGGCTGTTTCTTGTTTAACTATTAAAAATAGAATTGATGCAGTCAGCATTCACGCTCAAATCCCAGATTTAAACCACTACTCAATGAAGCTTGATATGCTCTAGAAAGATTTATCAATCTCAGAGTTGAATCATGACTAATATAAAAGAAAATAATTTTTCTACTCACTGTCAGAATCTAAATATGTCCATGAAGTTAGGAATCTAATGACTTATCCACAGTCCTCATTTTCAAAATATAATTACTTTTTTAATATAATATAATTATAATGTTAAATAGGGTAGTTACACTTAAGTTATCTTACCCTACTGTTACGTTTTTAAAAAATAATTTTATTTCATTTTCTATTCTTTATGTAATTACTGATTTGTCAATTTTACTTTTTATTATGTACTACTTTTATTATAATTTTCTATGTAATTATTAGTCAATAGTTTTCTTATAACATTTGTATTTTGATTCTAATCTCCTCCAAAATATCCAAATGTCATAATTACAAAATCACGCTTTTGTAAATTATTGTTTTGTTTTTCTTGAGGCATTCAATCTTAAGTCTAAAATATTGAAAATATAAATTATTAATGGTTTGAAGGGTTTTCGAGCTACATTTATATGTGGTGAAAGGATTTCTTCTTTCACAAACAAATTAAACCCATCATAAAAAGCTTGTCCAATTAATACACTAGCCATAGTTATCATAGGATGCCCTATGCTTTTCTAGGGTTTAGGTAGAGGTTATATTAACTTTTATTGAGACTAAAGTAAATATTGTTCTTGATAAACATTAAAATTTATCATTATTTGAGTAATAGAATAATTGTTAAAATGTTTAAACAATATCAACCCCAAAATTAATATAATTTCCTTCTAAATTTGTGCAATGTAAAGAACGCAACTTATAGCAGTCAATATTTTCAGTGATGGCTATGAATGTCTCTTTGCTTTGTCTTTAAGCCATATATAAAAACTATTTATTCAGAATATTCAGGAGTGCTCAGAAAGGGATTTCAGGAAGAAACATGTACCATCAAAATTTTTAACGTGTTTATGAATTTCTAAGTGAAAATTTTCAAAACAACAGACAAGGAGAAAACATGGAACAAATTGCCTGAAGTGTAATTGAATATGATCTGTGATTTTTTAAATTATACTTTTACTTGTGCTATTATTAAAGAGTAAAAAATATCTTGCGAGCGGAGGGGAAAGTTCATGGGCCATCGACCTTGGGGGAGGGGAGGAGGTAGCACCCCTGATAATAGTAATAGGATTATACTATTATTTCTCTCAAAACTAGCCAGATCCAAATAATTTTTGGCTGTTAAAATTAGATAAAAAATTTTTTAAAAATTAAATTTCTCATCATACACCTACCATGAATACTACTAGATACTAACACAAAACAGTAAAATACTTTCCATCGGATTGACTATAATTCAAAATATGAAATAAATTTCTTTTCAAAAATGCTGTGTAAAATTTACAAAAATGGACTTAAAGGGCTTTGGAAATGAAAATGAGTAAAAAATAAATTTAAATAAAAATTTCACTATATTATTAGGAAACAGATTCAGAGAATCTCACTCCCATTGATACCACAAATGTTTTTTATTTCCGTTTGTTTGTGAAAAAGGTTTTTAAATTAATTATTATTGATTCTTATGAAATAAACTAAGGTTCCTTTTTGATGAACATTATATTTTTTTTAAATACAGGTACAGAATGTTTCTATTTTTTTTTTATTATGTTTCAGGTTGTAAACTTTGACTTTTCAAAGCACCAGAATGTTACAAAATGGTTCAACAAATGCAAAGAAACTATTCCAGACTACGAGAAGTCTAACAATGAAGGAGCTCAAGCATTTAAAGCTTTATATGAATCTATGACAAAGAAATAAAATGAATACTCATCATTTAATTCCAAAATAAATTATTACATTTCAACAGCAAACTATTCTTGTGTGTAATGAATTTCAGATAGTTTGCACATATTTTAATACATGTGTTTCAATAAACTATCTTTAAATTAATCAGTTTATTATTTAACACCTTTTCATTACAACAAAAGTAAATTTTGAGTACTATTTTGTGGTATTTAAAATTTGGACAATACCTAAACTTGGCAAATAGTAAGGCAATGTCAAATATGGAAACAATTGTTTATTTCATCAAATAAAATTACAATTTGTTTTATTTACTTTTCAAATCATAAAAATCACAATACAAACTGAAAATGATGTAGTTTTAATAATTATAATATCTATATGTTGCTTGGAATGTATAAAATGAAATAAAAAATATCAGGGTAGGATATTCCACTGTTCTCCGATTATTAAAGATTGAAGTTACCTAATGACTGGAGGGCATTAGCCCATTAAACAATTAATATACACACTACTCTGATTTATTTTGTGTAATTCATTCAAATTTCAAAATTTTGGACATTCGATATTTTTTTCCCAAGGGACAGATAAGTTTTTTTTTTACTGTTACTTTAGTCTTATTTTTAATATTATTTACTAAACCTCGTATATTGCTACTGTTAATGCAAAAGATCATTTATACACATTATTTGTGCAAAAGGTGACATCTTGTGGTCTGCTACTATGCAAATTGGCAGAGGGAAATAAGATATGGAATTATACTAATAGTTCATAAAGAAATAATCAGTTTTTATGATTTCCTGTGAAAAAAATTAATTTTTAGTTACGATCTTTTGCTCTAACAGTAATGATGTAAAAATATGAAGTGAATATTAACCTTTTTTTGGGAAATTGCAAAAAAAAAAATACTGATTTCTAAGAGATTGCAATTTACTGATCACCTTCTCAAATGCAATTAATGTAGCTATAGTTTTTATCCCAAGATATACAATAAATGAAATTTCAAACAATATGACTTTGAACACTCAAGCAACATTTTCACATGACATTTTTATTTAAAGAAAACCTTTGCTGATTATCTTTAAAATTTAGATTTATCAAAATGAAAAGTGAATTAAAAACAAAAGAAAATTAGAAATACTATCATTATTTTATAAAAATAATTTATATTTTTTATGAAGATAAATAATTCATATTATTGTGGTACATATATATGAATCAAATACAGCTTATCCCTTTTCTATTTAAGGCAGTTTTATATTCATGAATACAATAATTAACCAACTTTCCCTTGATTAATTGAGAGAAAACATTAAAAATTATGGCATTTATTAAAAATCTAATGAGTACATTGTTATCGAACCTCCCATTTACAATAATAAGTAATAAATTAATAAAATATATATTGTTTCCTTTAATCCATAAGTACAAATTTTATTTTGTTTTAAACAGAAATAAAAGTGAATAACAATGACATACTGTCCAAAAATTCAAATAGTGAATGTTCATTCTATCCTAAAGTTCGTTAGTTTTACGTACATATTTTATCAGTAAATAATAGCCAAAGTCATTACGAGAATATTATACTAGTCAAATTATTGAAAACTTCTAATGAAAACATTCACAATTATTGCATTTATTAAAAATGTAATGAGTGCATTGTTATCAAACCTTCCATTTTCTTTCTTCAGGAGAAATAAAAATATATATTGTTTCCTTTAATCCCTGAACACGAATTTTATTTATTGTAAACACAAGTAAAAGTGAACCGCAACAATATACCACCAGCTTTTTTCCGCTAGATTGAAAAATTACAATAATTTTTGTTTTGGAGATAAACAGGTTTTCCAATAAAATGGTATTAGATATAATACTTGCATTGCTATTTATTTAGTAAATGTATTCTAAAATAAGCATTTTATACCTTTTCTATGAAACTTATTAAGTATTAACAAGCTAATTCTCATAAAAGATACTTGTTAATTTGGTTTAAGAGATTCGAAAAAATAAAAAAAAATGTTAATACCAGACATGGCAGCAAAATAATTATGAACTAAAGAATTCAGTAGCTTCTCAGTGATTGATATATCTTTCAAGGAAGGTCTTGAGTTAATTACATGAAGCGACTAGCATACTAAAATATGTACGAACAGGTGATATCACTCTAAACTCTAGGTAAACTACTAGCAAGAGAGAACATCCTTAAAAAAATAATACACAACACCAATCTTATATTTCTTGAAATTAAAAATCATATAGACACAACTCACAATGTCATTAATATTATTATATCGAATGATATTATCCATTCAGAAGGCAATAAACAAATACCTATAAATATATTAAAATGTATTACGAAAATGTTATCTATTTAAAATATAAGCAACATTTATCTACATTTCTTGCTAACTCATAATTGTATTTCTGCTATTAAGGATTAAGTAGTTTCTGCATCTATTGAATTTATATTTTTTTAAATAATAAAGAAAGAAAGAAATATATATATATATATATAATTAGTGAAACTTTGAATTATACCTGTTGAAAATCTCTTAAAAATACAGAAATGATAACTGAAGTAACTAAAAGAACGAACTTGACATAAATAAAACATCAATTTTGTATAACTAGCAAAAAGTGCGCCAATTTATACGAAAAATGTTTTGGTACAATTTTATATAGATAGATGGCATTAAATTCATAACAGGCAATCATTATTTTAAAATATAAAATATTCAATAAAATAATTGATAATGACGATAATATTGACAAAATTATCATTTTAAATTCTGCCACTAAACAGAATACCGCTAATTCCAAGTCTTGTGGTACGGCGCTAAATTAGAAATTGACAGTAACTAAAATTTAACTTTTAACGCAAGTTTAAAACTAAAAACCTGAAAGCTCGTGCGAATTTCGTTTATGTTTTATAAGAAAATAATTATCAAAAGCATTATGGGAATATTACTGTGATAAAACTTCTAAAGTCGAAGAATAGAATCAATTGAAGATTTCTTGAAAATTTTAATCCACATTATGCGGAGTGGAATTCCAATGGAATATAATTGAAATACAGATTAACATTTTCTCTTAGAATTTATAATTAATCGATCTATCTAGATACATTTAATGATGCTTATATCTATTTATATTATACTAATGAAACGATTAATAATATATTATTCTTATCAAAATTTGGACACAATCAAACCTAGTACTAATGCGATCTTTTATGAATTTCTAGGTCATCACAGTGAATGTTTTTAGGTTATCATTTAATTTAAAATTAATTGTTTACCTGAATTTTATCATAACTTACCATAATCGATCTCGATTTATTAGAGGCAATTAGTTGAATGGTTTTACTTCCTGCTCCACTAACAAGGCAAGCTTACCTAATCATAATTATAAGTAGGAAATTAGGTCAATTCAAATGTCTGGTTAATTTAAAAAATAAGCGTTATTTCAAATAACATTTAAAAAACATTCATTCTTATATGAGTGACGATACTAAAGAAAACTTTTCTTGTTCCAAAAGATTTTGGTGGGTAAATATAAAAAATAAGTAATATCGAAAAGAAAAAGCCGTGAAGAGCTTGGCCGTTAATACTAAATAAATATGACTAATTCATCACGATAAAATTTGAAATTTAAAAATCGATTTGTCATGTCTGCTCCCAGAAGGCATTTACAAAGTTTTTGAATACTATTAAAAGAGATATCTGTAGATGGAAATTATTTTTAAAGGTGAGAAGGAAAGTTTTCCCAGCATTATGTATTTTCTATAACCTGATCAAGCATTCATTTTCTCTTTAGAATTCAGTTTATAGACGTCTTGAAGGTCGACTTCAGAGCTGTAAGCGTTATTATTGGATATCTTTCATGTGGCGTCTGTTAAAAAAAAGAGGACCAGTAAATTTTTACTTTCACTTACCCATCTTGTATGTGATTATTTTTGTTATTAGTTTAGTGTAGATTTTATCTAATTATCAGTGTTTTTTATTATATTACAAAAACATTATTATCTTTCCTAAAAGTGGTAATTCAGTATGAAATGTCCATTTTGATAAATCATTAGCAAATTATTTCATAATGGTTTATTATTTCCAAATAATTATACATCTAAAGTAACATTGCATTCCTATTTACAAAGAAAAATAAATAAAAGGTGATTCCAATTATTGGGCTAAACTTTCTTTTTTTAATCATAAGTAATATTCTAAAAAAATTAGTATTACTTCAGTAACACATTCAAAATTCAAAAACCAAACAAAGGATATAACCTTTGTAGCAGAATATATAAATATAATATAAAAAATAAACTAAAGACCATATCTTTGCTCCTAATTGTCCGATTTTGTTTTTTGATTTGTAGGAAATTTCGAAAACTACAAAAAAGTGTATACTTTTTGAATTATTCTAAATTTAATTTTACCATCCCTCGTAACTTTTTTTCCAGCTACTTTTCGTTTAAGTATATTATATAGATAAATTTATAGGGCGTCGAGAAAATGACTTTAGCGAAGTTTCATTTAAATCGATAAATTCGGTTAGACACTACAGTCTATAGCAACGCAGTTTTTTCGGCCACTATTTTGAAAGTAAAATGCGGATAGTAATGTTGACAAAGGAGGATCATCCTCGGGTGACCTCTGATTTTATATCCTAATTTGAAAAAAATCGGTCCAGTAGTTTCGGAGAAAATGAACGGACGGCGGACGGCGGACGGACAAAAAAATGTTTATTCGTTTTTCGAATTCTAAGTATCCTGAAACGTAAAACCTCAAATTATGAGAGGGGGTTAAGTTTTTGAATTTTTTGGTCGATCACAATGGTTCATTATTGAAAATAATAAACCAAAAATGTACTTTCGATGTACCTAGTGTTTTAAAAATGTGTTGTTCTTAACAGATCAAACATATCAGAAAATGTATGCATCTCTTTGGTTCCTCTTTGTTGCCTGTTTTAAATGACTACAAATATGAAACAAAATAATTCTTTTCGTGCTTTGCTTG